CTACATTCCTGCTATGGAAACCAGGATAATAATGATTATATTGCAACTACTTTTGTAATGATTAAGTAATAACGATTTTTTGTTGGGCGCAATAAAGTTTTAGCAAATGGCTTTACTTACGAAAAGTCTTTTCACAAGGACGCTCACCTATGCCGACTGTATAAAGCACTTAGCTGGATAGCAAAAAATCAATTTTTTCCCCTTTTTTATTTTTTTTTAAGGGGGGAAAATCATCGAATGACTGCTCCCGCCTGGGTGAGGCGGAAGGGAGTGTCAGACTCTTACTGACTAAAAACCACCCCGTTCCTTCTCCTGCACGTCGAGCCGGAGCCCCGGTTACCCGTTAGGTTCTCCGCGACATTTTTTCCCCTTATATTAGTATGATTTTATGTCCATTTATTTACATGAGAGAACGACTTACGTGATCGGTGTAAGGAAAAATAAATAAGCACTAATGAGATGTAAAAACGTGTAGGTATAACCTTATAGAACTCTTGGCGGAATTATTAAAATTAATAAAACCAAAATTGACGTAGCATGGATGTCCATCGGTCTACAGTTTATGAAAAAAAATATCCACTTCTCTAGAGCTGAGCTTCGTAGTTTTAATCCGTCCTCAAACGTAAACTATTATTGAATGTACTCCCCGTACGCCCAGGCTAATAAACTTTCGAGCGGTATTTTAGTGCAGACGGCTTAACGAATAATCCAATCAGAGCCCACTTCCTAGACGAGCTTTAAACGGGTGCAAGTGCTGAGGTGTCGCCATGTCGACTAACAGGCTATTAATAAACACATAATATGGCCAATTTACTTTGAGTATAGATATTCCAAGCTTAAGCATCATCATAAATATCATCTACTGCTGAACAAAGGCCTCCAAGAAGGTCAAGGTCTTGAAAGGCCACTGACTCAAATCAGCTGGATGGAAGCAATCTGCATCCTGTTATTCCTAATTCCGTCAGAAATTCATAACTGGCTAAGTGGTTAAGCGATCGTCTGCTGTGCAACGTGTTCCGGGCTAGTTAGCACGGAACAAAATATTGATATGATTTGTAGATTCATTCCGTTGTTATTTTAATTGTGTACCGGAAATCTTGGCGCAGAGCAACATACCAAAAAAGATACTACATAGTAATCTACTTTGAAACTACTACAGAGACTAATGATTTTTAGTTTCAAACTTGAGAGGCAGTTAAAGCTTTGTAAACTGGACCAGATACAACAGAAACTGGAACGAATGACAATTGCAAGGAACTGACAACATCTCACAAGTAATTTGAGTCCCTTGTGATCAGCGTCTACATCTACATACAAACTGTACAGTTATCCTTATTTGCTGACTTGGCCTTGCGGATATTTACAGAGTACCCACTAACAACACAGAACTTTCGCAATAAACCGATAACGTACCTTGATGACACAATACTTTATTTCTCTAGACAAAAGGTTAAACGAGGCCTTTTTTTTCTAATAATAAAAGCCAAAGTAAACTCTTGTTCTATTTTCCCGGGCAATGGCTTACAAAATGTTTCATGAATGCAAAGTAAACTCCTGTATTATTTCATCCGGCTGTGTAATTCTGAGATAGTTAATTTCTCATCTTGTTTTTTAATGGATTTCTTGTATTCCTATTCTGTGGTTTATTTCGTAGGATTATTGTTAAGATACAGCATGTAATAACTACAACGATATTATTCAAAAGTACTTGTTTTCTTTGCTGTTTTCATTTCTCATAATACTTAGGTACTTATTTCCTTTTGATTTATGTTTCTTCAAGGTTAAAGTGAGCGTGTTCGGAAAGCGAATAGTTATGATGTTATTATATCCAACTTAAATTATTACTTCCTAGAGTTTAATAAAAAATTATACCTTATCGATCGTTGTTTTTTGAAAACTCCTCTCTGCCTCATTGGCCGAGTGGTCGCAAGTGCGACTGCCGGGCAAGGGGTCTCGGGTTCGATTCCCGGGTCGGGCAAAGTATTACTGGGTTTTTATAAATCTCAGTAGTAGCACGGAGTCTGGAAAAATGTGCCCGGTATATGGCAATAGGCTCACCCCCTATTACATGGGACTCATAACATAAATAGTGAAAAGTGGGTGTTACATTGTACAGTGGCATTAAGTGCCGAAATGTGCACCTCTGCCTACCTCTTCGGGGATAAAAAGGCGTGATGTTATGTTATGTTATGTTATATGTTTTTTGAAAACATGTTGGTAATTTTTTGGGTATTTTTTGAATAATTACGGAACGGGAAACTGAATAATTTGTTATCAAAACGTATTTAAATCGCATGAAAAGGAAATAAGCTATAAAGTTCTCGACATCTTATCAAGCATCAGTCCGGTCATAGGAATCGACCTAAATGTTCAGCTTATTACAGTTTGTGGGCGATGTGTTAACAGTAATTTACGAGCAGCAATAACTTCCATACTTCACACCGCTGCAATCTTTATACTCAATACATTCCAGACTTATTTAAATTCATGAGCCATTTATTCCGTGAGGACTTAAATTCTATATCGAGGAATATATGCCTATAATGTCTCGTCTATAGACTTATTTGCATCTCAAAAAACACGTTGGCTCTTCAAGGCAGAGGCAATAAGTACGTGTGCGGGTTCTATACATAGCTCATTTATGTAAATTATACATAATTCTATTGAGTGCATGTGCTTCTTATTTCATTGCCTTCATTACACACGTTTCATCCAGAAATAGAAATTGATCGTGTCCTTTTACTTCTCTTTTACTAAGTTAATTCAAAAACATCAAGTTCATTTATAACAGAATAAATGCAACAGCTGATTTTGACCATGAAACTGAACTTTTCATGTTTCCAACAGAAAATTTGCACCTTCCATAAAAATAGTCGCAAATCAAATTATTTAAAAGCCTACGAATTAACACATTCAAATTCAGAACACCAATACGAAACAAATAATATGGATAAACAATATTATGCCTCAAGAACTTCTTATTAACGTAGGTCAGGGTTAAAAATGCACATTTCAGTCAGTTTTAGTCTTGGTCAGTAATTTTACGTGGGTGTCATTATGTCCTAAGGTCAACGAAATAAGGCATTAAGAATTTAACAGGACATTAAAATATTATTTGTTCGTACTTACTATACAGATTTATGATGAAATTGTTTTGGCTTGGTGCCAGATAGGTTTGCAATTGGTTCCCACTATTATATTGGTGACTATCGCGTTATTTTTTGGCTGTTTTGCGATATTTAACCCTTTGAGTACCGTCATTATAGACAAAAATAAAGAACAATAGGTTGCGGTCACCGGTGTCCTCGCGGTGTTTGACAGTTCCACATAGATGAGCTCAAGTAAACACAGCTTGTCCTTTGAAAAAGTTATTGCTTTATAACTATTTACATTACCGCAATTATTTACATGATAGATAATACGACAACAAAACATTTCTATTGTTATGCTGTAAGTACTTGTACGCATATGCAACGAAAAAGAATGATCAAGTACTTATAACCAGTCAGTTAGGATAATTTTGTTGTTTTGGTCTTTGTATAACTGTAATTTCAGTGCTCGTTTCAAGACTTAGAACTTTGTTTTAACAAAACCATGAGGCAGTAGAAAATTATTTCTACCACCCTAGCAACATATAGGTAAGCCACATGTAAGTTACGTAGCTTTACAGTATGTTAATGATAAATATATCAACGTTAACATTAACATGTTTACAAACGTAACTGACGTGTGGGAAACAGTTACCATATCTTAAACATTTTTTTTTGTGTCGCGGTGTAAGTACCTAACGGGTTACCGGGGCTCCGGCTCGACGTGCAGGTGAAGGAACGGGGTGGTGTTTAATCAGTAAGAGTCTGACACTCCCTCCCGCCTCACCCAGGTGGGAGCAGTCATTCGATGATTTTCCCCCCTTAAAAAAAAAACATTTTTTGTCTAAATTAGGCAAATAAATACGTACGTTTCTAAAGCTTGTGGGTTACCCTTTGTAGAACCTGCCTTTGGAACCTCAAATAAGGACAAGCTTTGCCGTGAAACTTAAAAAATCATTCAGATTTTCTTTTGGTCTATACAGAAGAATAGTAAACGACCAGCGAGCGCAGCGTCCGTACTTAAATTACTTCCTAAGTAACTGAATATTGTAATTTATCATGATGGTTGATGATATAACGTTACTTTGTATTAGGTCTATCATTAAACTGCAATCCCAATTTGTCACAGTTGCCTTATTTACAACTTCCTCACTGATGAACTAGTGCTCACTCTGTCATGTTTATTTATTCACCGTTCATTGAATCCGAAAACAATTTCAACTTCCAGGTTCACTCGATCAGAAAATTTTTGGTGAAATAAAATTTTACACTTCAATGCCTGCGATCGGGATGTAAATTCTCATGTTTTGTTTTTGTCTATACTACATATGGAACGCGAAAATCTGGAACACCCTCAGGATGAAATGTTTATTTGTCTTCTAATAAAATCCCATAGTTGTGCAAGAAATGGACGACTTCCAACGAGTTGTTCCAGTTTGGTATCTTTTGTGTCCATATTAATAATGTTTACGTTAGGCAGTGCAGAGCGCCTTTGTTATAATAACAAACTAATTTTAATTCAGCTGCTCTCAAAACAGTTGACAGTGCGAACGGAACTCTGACGAGGATTACAGCGGCTCGGTAGCTCGGCAGACGTTAGTGTTTGTTGTGCGATAAAGTAATAGTTGTGACGCTACAAGATTGGTTCTAATCTGTGTGTGCATTTCGTCACATGCAGATTACATCACATCTCACGCGTCGCATTCAGTGTAGATGTAGGGCGGCGCGGCGGGAGCCATCCCATTGCGGAAGGACGGCCGCGCGCTCAGTACGCGCTGTGTTGTCACCGACGAATATCCGATCCGCTCCATTGCCCCACGCGGCGCGAACCCCAACAGTTTTGAATTTCGAAATAGTGCCGGCTCTGAAATAAAAGTGTTTCGTGTTAAATGTGATAGGAAAACTAGTGATATGAAAATACGGTTCGAGGTGCCTAACAAATTGGAGATAACTTTTGGAAGAGGTACAGAGTGTTATGTTATTTTGTGCTTTATTAATAATTGTACATAACAATGTTGGTAATGCAGGCGTTGTCCAGACTTGGGAGAGCAGGTAAAATTATTAACACCTCAATTGTCATTGAATTTTTGTTACTTCATAAATCATGGATAAGTTAACGTAACCGGTTTTGTTCAACTTTAAATGTATTGTAGAAGTTGACGCGACTGGTTGCAGCCTTTTTCAGCACAATTAACTATTACGTATATCGTTAAAAGTTACAAGTGTGTTGAACCTTGCCTGGGAAAGATCAATCCTTATAAAATTAAAAGAAAATGTTCCTTAATATCCTTAAAAGGGATTTTTAAGCCCTTTGCCAAAACGATACAATTTAGTTCGCTTACCTAAAATCATTTTGTGTTAAGGGTTGTTGACTGAAGCAAAAACAAGGTTTTCGCAAAATAGGCTAGTCCCTTATTATCCGTAGTATATTACAAGTATGTAAGCAACGTAATTCGTTTATAGAATCTATTCTACATATTGTGTAGAGGCTTTGTAAGCGGCGGCTGAACGCGCCTACGCGGTGTAATGCCACCCTTTATAATGTTAGTTCTGCCTGTGAAGGGCTTCAAATAAATTATTTGCATGAATAGTTTCATTAGTCGTATGTCATGGAATGTTGTACTGTGAAGCTTTGTATGTTCCGTAATCCTTTGAAGTGAATATAAGATTGATGTCCGGCAAACATTTGAACTCGTGTAGCAGCTGTTGTGCGGAATGTTTGCTCTCCGTCTCTTACAGGCCGGTGACAGATCAGGTAAATGTGTGTGACGGCCACTCGATAACCGATCCATTAACGGTACCTATCCTGAAAGATAAAATGTCAAACATACCAGTATAAGCACCTACTTAGGCACTTACTTAAAGGCAATATGTATTTACTTTGACATTAAATTCCCGGAGATACTCCGCATTGAATTTCGATAACGTTATGTTAAGTTAGAAGACCTGACAGTACAGCGATAAATTATATTATTGGTACGTGCTCGTTCGATTCGCATTAAAAGCAAAGCTACTTAAACCGGTGCATTTAGATAGGGAAACTTATGAATAGGAAAAATAAATGAATGTCATAATAATCATTACTTTATTTACGATGTAGCTACGTACGACAAGTACTTCAATGAACAATGTAAATGAAAATGTTATTTAATTCAATAGTTACTTGTCTTTGTCGTAAAAATAGTAGCATAGCAAAATGTCGGTGTCAAAGATTGCGACATGAATGACCGTCACCCCTATTCCGTGACTGACCCTTTAGTAATGAAAAGTGGACAGACGTCAGCGTCCATTATTTATTCAACCAACATTAATATAGCATCGATCTTTGAATTCTTTAAGACACAATATTCCTGAAGTTTTGTAAGTAGACAGCCAACTTCTTATGTTCGTTGGCAACTTATTACCTGTTTTCGGCGTGTTCTTACTTCGTTTGTGTCATTATAATGGCACTTTTAGAAGAGTTTCAAGGAGACACAAAGTCATACATAACGTGAAAAGGCAATATTATGAGTTTACTTGTAATTAGGAACCAAATCTTGCTAAATATTTCTGTGATTATGTCCTTATGCGATATGGTATGCGGTTGTAGGCGTAGGAGTAACTATAAGTTGTTCACTTGGACATACAACTAATTTACTGAAGGATTAGGAAAATTCCTAATCCTATTTCCAAATGGAAATTACAAGGATTGGCCGCAAAAAGCTTTAAATAGAGAGGAGTAGAAGAAGGGTTTTTTTTAATCCGGCAAAATCATCGAATGACTGCTCCCGCCTGGGTGAGGCGGAAGGGAGTGTCAGACTCTTACTGACTAAAAATCACCCCGTTCCTTCTCCTGCGCTTCGAGCCGGAGCCCCGCCAACCCGTTAGGTTCTCCGCCACGTGGAAGGAGGGTATGGAGGCCTTTGCCCTGCAGTGGGACGATCATGGCTGAAAATAAATAAATAAAATAAATTAGGAATTTAGGAACAATGATAGCATAACAACATTACAGAGTTAGGGTATCCGTTACCTTTTGTAGTTGGCTAGACCTAAACTGTCACATATTGCGGCCATCCGCATTTCAGTTCATTGTTGAATAATTGAAACACCAACTATTCTGTTTGAGCCTCGAGCCGTGGATTGTGCGTTGCTGTTTTTGCACGCACATGATACGTCATTCTATCTATTGTGGTTGGTTTTATTTCAACATTCTATCTTTTTAACACTAAATACCTGTTCAAAGTTAGGAATTAATAGGACACCTACACTATTGATTTAGTAATTAACCTTATATTTCGTGTTCTCTATTCCATGTTGAGGGAGCTCACTTCTTTGAGAAAACGGAACACAATTTTTCAGTCTGTGAATGCCTGACCTATTTTATAACAATAAGATTGTAAATTGTATGGTAATCCAGTAGAAGTCACTTTTCCAATACATGTATGTATGCTAAAGAAAGTAACGGCAGACGTCCCCTGTGCCATCGAGACAATTGAAAGTCAGTCACAATGTTGCATGATGATATCGATGACTCACCTGCACTTTGTGTTCCACCCTAACGTGGGAATTAGGTCCGCTAATCGGTTTTATATCAGTTCTCCTGATTATAACCCTCATAACGTTCAGTATCGCTTACAGCAAACAACGATAACCCATATTTCGCATAATACTTAGCCAGCAATTTCAGAATTAGCAGAATACCTGATAACGTTGGTATGTAATATAATTCCAAAGAAACAATTTCAATAGAAATCGAGGGATACCTTCACAAAAATGAAATGGGATTCCATTCCCAAAACTGATATTAAAATGAAATACAAAACTTGGGTCGGGTCTGAATAAGGTGGGGAACACACAGGTTGTATGTTGTATACAAATATGGTAGGTACGACACATGTCAGTGTGTATAAAGCTGTGTACAGAAGTACAGACGTTATCTGGGCATTGTGCGATGATGCGACCCTGACTTAGATAGTTGTCATAGTTATAGCTACCCGTTACGCCTAGTTCGCTACGCATTGTATCGATCACACACGACTATCTATACAGGACACTCGAACTATAATACAAATAGATAAGGGTTAATTTCTAATGACTTCGTTACATTACACAGCCAAAGTAGGCAATACTGTCGTAAATAGTAAACAGCATTTAGTTAGACGGATACATTAGTCTGTACTTTGGCTGGTTGCATATTCGAAATCCGCATCTATTATGACCAATTTCCGTACATATGTGCTCACGAAAACCGAGCTTTTGGTTGTCGGTTGTAGGAAAATTGGATATTTAGGTTTAGATTTATAAATATGATACAAAATGAACACGTACATTTGAATGGTTACTATTAGAAGCCATCTTCAAAAATCTCTTCAATTCGTGAGTCGAAAATCGAAATCTCTAAATGTACATGGAATCTAGAGATCCATTGTGGATTCAATCACGAAGAAATCACATAGTAATATCTAGGTTCTATCATAGCTATTTTACGTTTGTTAATTTATGTGATACTTACATGTACAATAGAACATGTTCCCAATGAAATCGAGGCTCCAGAAAAATCCAAAAGATAAACCTGATCGGATTTTCAATCCATTAGGTATCTACAATCTATTGAATAGTTTATATTGCTCGATTTTATTCGATCGACCACAATGTTTAAACCTCGATACATCGCATTGGGAGCGATGTTCTCAATAGCAATCCTTTTATTGATTAAGAAAGGATTCTGCATTCTACATTATGTATATTTAATATCCTAGGCTCCTAGGTGTTATTTTTTTTTTACTTCATTAAACCCGACAAAGCAATGTTGTACGTCACATCAACGTTACATTTGTAGAGTTTCATTTTAAATGAAAGCGTAACGAAATCTTATTTTAATTAGTTGTTAATTAGGTAAAAAAGAACCGATGAATGGTTGAAAATTTCCGGTGTGATCAACTGCGCAATGGCAAGGTCGCTGTGACAATGTGCGGATGTGCAGGCGCCGACAGTTAGCACAACGGCACAGAAAATAACTTAAAATAAATTAGTCATCATCACCTGCTCAAATATTTTAACTATATTAGACATACGTTAACATAAAGGTCATTCCCAACGTCCAATTTTACGAAGCAACCATAAACCCCATTTTAGTTAAGTCCTGTCTTCAAAAAGGATTCCATATTGAGAAATCAAAGAAAATGAAATGTGTGAAAGCAGTTAAGTAGTAAACAGTCTGGTGCAACATTTGAAGAGTCATCAGGAGAAATGGGTTAAGTAATGGCGCTCACTGTTGATGACTTTACAACCTGTCGTATCGTAAACGATGTTTAAACAGTTTTACACCATTCTACTTAAAAAACATTGTAACTGCCTGCCAGAGAGCTGGGATTATGGCAGATAAGGCAACTGATATGCGTTAGGTATAAAAATCAATATATATGTGCTTGTGCAAGTAAACAAACTAGTGAACAAATCATGTGACTGTGAATAATGAAAACATTGCGTTGTTAGGGGCAACAAACTAGTAACTCTATGTGCGTACAATATGTGCTCTTGACAATATTATTGGTACTAATAGTACTTATTATTGAGAAAAAGAATATAAAATTTTCAACCAATTCAAGTTTTCGTAAATGTAACCCTATATTGTATAAGTGTAATCGATTGTTGGTGAGCCAAATCAATAAAATAAAATAAAACCAATGCCCTCCAGAAATCTCCAGAATTGACTAATAGATGCACAGTCGTAAATGTTACATATTTGATTTATTCCCCATTTTTTCATTTACTCTTGCTAAACAGATACCTTCTCATTTGAAATGAAAAACACTAACAAGGCGCATTATTTTTTCGTCATGCCCTATTTAGGAACAATCGACATTCTCAGTTTTGTGCACCAATTGTCTCAGGTCCCTTCGATTGTCTCTTGGGAGACATAAACACTAAATGATTGTTTGGTTTCTTATGGGGACCTGATTGTTTTGGTAACTGTAATGTTGC